TACTTTTTCTGAGAAGCGGCCCCACAGGAAGTGGACCTGGTCGAGCCCCGACGGTTCGACAAAAAATGAGATTGACTTCATTATGACGACCAGACGACAACTGTGCGAGGGTGAAAACTGGTAGCGATCACCGAATGGTTAGAGGCACACTGAACCTAAACGTTAAGTTGGAGAGGTCTCGTCTAATGAAGTCAACGCTCCGTCCCCCTCGTGCTTTGTTCCAAAGTCCCGAAACCTTTCAGCTCGAGTTACAAAACCGTTTTCAGTGCCTAGAAGACTGCAATGAAGTGGACGATATGAATGACAAGCTCGTGGAAACTGTCCATGCGGTCGGAGCTAAGTTCTGCAAGACCCGCCGCAGAAGAACACAAAAACTCTCCGATCACACTCTTAATCTCATGGCTGTTAGACGGGAGATGAAGCTACATTCTTCAACAGACTTGACAGCATACAGGCATCTGAACAGACAGATCTCCAAATGCATGCGGCGGGACTTACGCAACTTCAATACAGCTCGTATTGAAGAAGCGATCGAGCGGAACCAAGGCTCCAAAGTCTTTGCCAGAGATCTGTCTGCCAGAAAGAGCCAACTGTCAAAGCTGAAGACAGAATGTGGCAGCATCGTTTCCGGGACACCTGAGATTTTGAGTGAGATTGAGAGGTTCTATGGGCAGTTGTACACGTCATCGTTGGAGCCACACGCAAGAGTGAGTAACGATCCAAGAGCGAGTCTCATCCGACACTATTCCGAAGATATCCCGGACGTCAGTCTGAGCGAGATTAGAATGGCTCTCCAGCACCTTAAAAACGGTAAGGCCCCAGGCGAGGATGGAATAACAGCGGAGCTTCTGAAAGCGGGTGGAAAACCGGTACTAGAAGTCCTTCAGAAGCTCTTTAATTCCGTCCTCCATGGTGGCATTACACCGGAGGCGTGGAGGAGAAGTGCGTTGGTGGTGGTCTTGTTCTTCAAGAAAGGTGACAACGCTCTCTTGAAGAACTACAGACCGATTTCCCTTCTGAGCCGCGTCTACGTGCTGTTTTCGAGAGTCATTACGAATCGTCTCGCGCGCAGACTTGACGACTTCCAGCCTCCCGAACAAGCCGGTTTCCGAAAGGGCTTTAGCACCATAGACCACATACATACCCTTCGGCAAATTGTACAGAAGTCCGAAGAGTACAATTTGCCACTATGTCTGGCGTATGTGGACTATGAGAAAGCCTTTGATTCCGTCGAAATTTGGGCGGTGCGGCAGTCCCTTCAGCGGTGCGAAGTTGACTGTCGGTATATCGAAGTGTTGAAGTGCTTGTACAGTAGGGCTACGATGGCTATCCGAGTACAGAACCAGAGTACGAAACCTATCCAATTGCAGAGAGGTGTAAGACAGGGTGACGTCATATCCCCGAAACTCTTCACCGCTTGGAAGACGTTTTCAAGCTTCTGGACTGGAAAGGATACGGTATCAACATCAATGGCGAGTACATCACTCACCTTCGATTTGCCGACGATATAGTCCTTATGGCAGAATCGCTGGAGGACCTAAGCACTATGCTCAATGACCTCAATAGTGTTTCCCAACGGATAGGTCTTAAGATGAACATGGACTAAACAAAGATCATGTTTAATGTCCATGTCACACCTATGCCGGTAGTTGTTGGGAACACTAAGCTCGAAGTTGTTGACGAGTATGTTTACCTGGGACAAATAGTCCGACTAGGTAAGTCCAACTTCGACCGAGAGGTCAATCGACGGATTCAACTCGGCTGGGCAGCGTTCGGGAAGCTACGACACATCTTCTCGTCAGACATACCTCAAAACCTTAAAACCAAATTGTACAACCAGTGCGTGTTGTCAGTGATGACTTACGGAACTGAGACGTGGTCATTCACTGCTGGCCGTATGAGAAAGCTCAAGGTCGCTCAGCGAGCTATGGAGAGGGCTATGCTCGGAGTTTCTCTGCGTGATAAACTTAGGAATGAGGATATCCGCAGTAGAAGCAGAGTAACCGACATAGCCCAACGGATTAGTAAGCTGAAGTGGCAGTGGGCCGGCCATATAGCTCGAAGAACCGACAACCGATGGGGAAGAAAGGTTCTCGAGTGGCGGCCTCGTACCGGTAGGCGAAGTGTAGGGCGTCCCCCCACGAGATGGAGTGACGACCTGGTAAGACATGCAGGAAGTCGATGGATGCAGGTGGCTCAGGACCGTGCTTTGTGGCATTTTTTGGGGGAGGCCTATGTTCAGCAGTGGACTTGTGAAGGGCTGTAATGATGATGATGATGATGATGATGATGATACTTTTTCTGAGTATATACTAAGTACATATACGAATAGCATATAACAAGAAGTATCAATTCTCTAGCGTCAAAATCGTGTCTAAAGTACGACGATATATTTGTCCAACCTTAAATATCCACCAACAACCAACCTTAAACTTAATACTCTGTCAAGGCGACAGAAAATGTGCTTTGATAATAAATAATCACAGTATTATTTATAGTGACAAATCATATAAAAAATAAGGACACACTAATTGTATTCATATTAAAACTATTCATAAAAGTCGTTATCTCCGATTTAACATAATATTAGGAAGTAGTTTGACGGTCGTGGATTTACCGTCCTTTTCAATTGCAACAGCACAAAAAAAAGGTTTGGAAGCTTAAGCCAGAATTCTAAATACGAATCACGTATCGATATATCAAAGTTTATCGCCGGTCACTTGTGGGAACTTAGTCGATAGCACGTCGAAGTGTTGAAGGGAGAGGATTCGATAAGGCTGTGATTAATGTAATTAGGATTAACCACACTAGCACTTTCGAATAACAATGAATCATCATAGGAATCAATTGATTATAATTGTGACCTTGGCTTAATCTACTTCCTATCTGTTTTTATTTTTGTTTTTTTTTTTTATTTTGATAATCTTGTCGTACGTAGCTATAACGTGGTAGAGCTGTCGCAGCGTAATATGATCTCAGTACGACTGAGTTGGCTAGACCGGTGAAAGAACGGTGTTTGTAGATCATCAGCTCTTTTTGTTTCGGGGGTTTTTTAAATTTTCAATTTAAGTTATTAAAATTCAGAATATATGAAACAAAATTTCTTAAAAAGTCGTTTTTAAAATATTATTGTTGAATTTTTTCCACTATTCCTGTATTCATATTTTGATCTTTTGATAATGAAACGGCTTTCAACTTCCGGGAAAATAAACACTCGCTGATTAGATATTGTACTTTTAATGGATTACCAATGTTTTCTCATTGATGATAAAGATAAAAATATATTATTTCGGAGTTTGGTTAAAATGTAATTTTATTATAAATATCAAAATATTCGATATTTGGTACATTATAATATTCCATATATACGTCAGATTATTATGTAGTTGGTATTAATATGTTAAAGTGTTAAGTAATTGCATCGTATCTACTTTTATGTATATTTTTATTTTTATAAAAAACTAAGTGATGCAAGTCGCGGCACGTAACGCGGATTTGAATTGCACGAATGCGACTGGAGAGCCAATCAGCGCGACTTATTCGCAATAACGGTCACCGATAGACTTTCGTGCCGCTACTTATACCCGGCGCGTTGCTGTTACAGAAGAATTAATTGTGGAAATATCGTTTTAAATTTTGAACAATTATATTATTTAATTAGGATTGATGATAATACATTCATTGAAGTTGAATGATAAATTACATTCAAATAAATATGTCCGTACGACTCGCGCGCCACCTACTGTAAGTTAATTGTACTATGCCTATAACCTTCGTGTAAGTGCAAGCAATAAGTTGACAAAGTTTTATTGCAATTTAATGAATGGTATAGCAGCGCATAAGATACGAACAAACAAAAAATATTTTTTTATATCTTTATATATAAAAATTACGTGTCACGTTGTTTGTCCGCGATGGACTCTTAAACTACTCAACTGATTTCAATAAAATTTTGCACACTGCGTTCAGTTTGGTCCAACTTGAGAGATAGGATAGTTTTTATCCTATCCTAATTGACCTATCCTAACCTAAATGACCCTCAGTATTTTATTACGAATTTAATGATTTTTTTATAGGACAAAAGGTCGTCAGAGAGGGCAGAACAACGTCTGCCTAGATAAAATAAAGCACAGACTAAAATTACAGACTAAAGCAGTGGACACGCTTTAGTCTGTGATTTTAGTCTGAAATAGTGTAGCTTATTACCTCGTGCGCAATTATAGTCATATATAGCGTTAAAGTCTACAGCTGGACATAGGCCTCCCCCGTTGTTGGAAGGATTCGCTTTCATCGTCTCGCTTGGCAGAAAACATGTATCAATTATGAATGATTCATTTATTTGACCCGGGAACGTTTCCGGATCAAACGATTGACAGGACCTACGACCAAAGAGTATAGTAATGATCAACGACCGATATTATCGAGCAAGTCTCACAGATCACAGAGTACTGAAACTATAAAAGCCCATTTGAATGATTGACCCGAATGACCCGGTTCGTAAGACAATACTTGAATGAACGGGTCATTAGAAATGAATGAATGACACATGTCTATTTCCCAGGCGGATAGACGATCGCTATACCAGCGGGGCTAGCCAAGTTGACGTTTTACAGTCGTTGACGCTAATAGAATATTAGACTATGAAAATTAATGAACGATAAATCATTTGAATGTTACGTGATTTAACAAGTTATCAATTATAGAATACAACTTTTTTAACTCCTTAGACGTTTCATAACCGTCGACGCCTTTCCCAGTCGCCGGTATGGATTTTTACACCTAACGTAAACGTATAGGTAATAGTACCATCTATTGGAAGCTATAAGATCTTTCTGGCATATCCCATAGGCGCCTCTTACGAAATATTTAGGACGAGATGACTTACCACCTTTCTATGACTTACTTGCCACAAGCTAGATTACTGGCTGCTATTTTATTGATGGTTATATCTTGTTTGTCCACAGAAGCGGCTTGGCGCGGCGTAGCGGGCGGGCCGCGCCATGGGTAACAAGTGCTGCAGCCGCCGACATGACCCCGACCGACCACTTGGTAAGCCGCATCCATTCTTTCATTACAGCTTACTAAAATATCACAGTTAAATATATTTTTTCCCCCATACATTACTTCGTGTATTTGTCATATTTGCCAGGCGGGTTGGCAACCGCAATTCATTAACTTTTTAGGATAACTATGCTGCCCATCTCCAGTTTACTTTTTCTCTGTCGCCTCTTACTTACTTGGTGAGGTAAGTTGCTTTTATCTGAATCTGAAACGAACAAATAATTGCAAGTGCGTCCTACTATTTGTTTTACATAGCAAATACTTTTGATATACTTGCCTGACCTTTTGACCTTCTGTACATTTTAATGTCCTTTCCCAATAAGCCTATGTGATAGGACTACTTTCCTGCCTAGAAGACATCTATTTATTGTGTTCCGGGTTGAACTGTAAGAGAGCTAATATAATTACAGACAGCAAATCATTCCACGTTAGTTCTTAAGAGTTTACAAACTATTAAAAACCAAGTTGAAGTTCTTAAGCCATACAGCAAACATGGTTGACTTATCATATGAAAAGGATGCCAATTTGTTCAATATCATTTTAGTTGTTATTGAAAATCATAAAATTTTGAACAATAAGTTTTTATCGCATAGTTATGTTGTTATGCATTAGCCTCCAACATACAACCAAGCCAACATCAACTATTAAAACCCAAGTTGTAGTTCTAAGCCATACAGCAGTCATGGTCGACTTATCACATGAAAAGGATGCCAACTTGTTCAATATCATTTTTAGTTGTTATTGAAAATCATAAAATGTTGAGCATTAAGTTTTTGTTGCATAGTTACGTTATTGTATATCCCTATAGTTGGTAGTATTTTGTTCCGCATAATTTAGTTATCATTAGTGACCATTATAATTACGAAATAAAAAGGTAGGGGCAATTATGGATTATTAGAAATTTAGTATGAATGGTATATAGTACGTAATGATGTTGACAAAATGCAATAATGTAATTATAAAATATGATTAAAAAGTATTATGCGACCCAAAATGGACATTTGTGTTTTAATACTTGACGCTTTACATTAAGGTTTGTTATGCGTTTACATGTTGTTTGTTGGTTGGTTACAGTCATAACTAAAAATATATATCTAGCCTAAAACTAAATTTTCTTGAGTATTTGATAGAAAACTAGCGATCCGCTCCGGTTTCGCACTGGTCAATTCTGTATCTTGAAAACAACGCCACATACAGGGTTCAGTTATAAGCTTAAGACATCCAGAGACCTACTCAAAGACTATTCATCAAAATCGGTCCAGCCGTTTTGAAGTTTAGTTACAAACACACGTAACAGACGAATTATATGTATAATTTTTTTGATTGTAAAAAAGTATACATTAGCTTTGCTATTGTTTGTTACAAAATTAATGTTTATTACATTAATTTAATTTATTATGAATAAAATAACATCTAAGTTATTTTTATGCTTCTGTTGACGTAAAACATATTAAACGAAATACCGGCTTACTATAAACATATGAAACCATAAAGTGCTAAGGATTTAAAAATCTTTAAGTTAGATTACATCTAGACTTGAAATGAAACATTGAAACTTAATGCCATCCTCAGTAATGCACTCGAAACATACGCTCAAAGTGTATGAGAGCGCTTCAACCATCTTATGTTTGGCTAATCACTGTCCTCTTTCTAGCACGAGCCTACTTCTAGTCTATACTGCGTCACCTACCTACTTACTTTTAAGATACTTACCTAAGATACTTTTAAGCATTATTGAGTCTCTCTAGTTTATCTTCTTACGCAATTATTTTAAGAAAGCTAAGAAGCGTTAGTAAACTTGAGGCTGCACAAAAACTTATTGATAACTACCTGGTACCCGGCGCGTTGCTGCCACAAAAAAAAATTGCAGAATAAATATTGTTTTAAATTTGGAAGAGTTATATTATTTAATTAGGAATTATAATATATTCATTGAAGTTGAATGATTATATAGTTTTCAAATAAATTTGCCGGTACGATACGCGCGCCACCTACTGTAAGTTAATTGTACTACTACTATGCCTAATAACCTTCTCACAAATGCAAGCAATAAATAAGTTGACAAAGTTTTAGCACCACCGGATGAAAAAACTTAAATTATTTTTTATAATATGTTAGATAATAAAAACAAATGAGAATTTTTACATAATAATATTTTTTCCAATATACTTTTTTTGTAATTGAAGAAATAAATTCAATATTATTTTATCTCGTAACCACGTAATGAGATATTGTGAGCGTTGTGAGCGCTAGGCTTATAATTATTACTAAAAACAGTAATACATTATATATTACGGTTTTTAGTGATAATTATCACACGTGAATCACTTTGGTATTTATATATATATTTCTCTGTCTAACACAGAGGTTTTTCTCCGAGAGTATTTCACGTAGATGATTGAAATTTGACACAGTTACAAAGTGCCGTTATCCAAATACTCGTGAGATTAAAAACTTGTGTAGAAGAAGAGGACGTTGGAAAATTATTTTTAGCTCATCGGGTACCTATTAGAAGCTGCATTTTTAAAATCAACTTATATGAACGAAACAGTAAATAAAATTGTGTACAATTTTATTTACTGTTTCCGGAATAAATTAGAAATACTATTATCACTCATACTACTATCACTGTATCTCTAAAAGTGTCGCGTTTATTTAATAATTTTATATCGTGAAAAATATTTTAAATTTGCCTATCTCTAGTTGCTATGAACAATCCTTAAACACAGATAAAGATATTGGATGAGATTTAGCAGGCATGCGCCAATTTTTAATTCAGAAACTTGTTAATTGCTTTTGATAATCAGAGTTTTCATACTTAATGTTGTTTATATTTACGCGAATGCTACACAAAATTATTTTAACTTATTTTGTAATATTTTAACTTATATTGTAAGTCTTTAAAATTCTTGAAAGAATTTTTTTACGGATTTTATCGCATATATTTTATTTTAAAATTCCGAAATTTCGAATGCTTTGCGGTACTTATTTATGGTAGCGAACCGGGCATTGTTATCTTGGACTTCAGCTATTAATTATTTATTCTCTTCTAGTCTAGTCTTTCAGTGGTATGATCGAGATTGTAGTTAATTTTATTGATAGGATCCCAAGTAAAGTCAAGCAATCGAATTGGGTGGGAATCCATCACAAATAATTTTTGTAGTGTTTATATTACCTACTGATTGCCGGCGATCTAAGAATATCCACTGGCCCATATTGTCCCGTGGGTGTCGTAAGAAGCGACAGAGGGAAACAAATCAGGAGTAGACATGCGCGCCGAGCAAGAATTTGGCGGCGGCGGCGCGCCGACCCATTGTGGTCGGCGTGGCGACGCCGCGCCGGCGCGGCCGTATTTTATTTTAATTTTTATAAACATTTATTTAAAATAAGGTAGTAATAAGTGAAACATAGACCTGGATAGGAATTCAAATTTAATTTCTCAAAATAAAAACAAAACAAACAAGTTCTAATTAATTATACCTTATAATTTGTGCAAAAACGAAAAAGCACATTTTTTTGTTTCTTGCACAAACTATAGGAAATTAAAATTGTGTTTTTTACACAATGTATAATTATCATGAATAAAAATAATTTTATTAACGTGTACTGGGCTTAGTCTAGATCTTTTAGCAGTCACAGTTAGTCCCACTATAGAAAAAACGCGCTCACTAGGCGTCCTAGTAGCAAATGTTCTGATCACAGAGTAGTTTTTATATACATACTGAAAGTTCTGATACGCGCTCCAGAGACTGTAAAAATTTAATTTGTTCTATTTCCGCCTCTCGCTTCAATTCCGGTAAGCGATACCGAACGATTTTTACGATCTTTTTACATTTTATTATTGATCTTTGAATTCTTAAATAATTGCATGGTTTTATTGAGCCCGCGCCCGCGCGCCCGTCCCGCGTTGGTTCCATTGAGATATAATGTACTACGTACTAGAGAAGCTATTCCGAACAAAAAATGTGCACTACTCTATGTCTTCGCGCATGCGCGGTAAATAGTACAGTCGCGCATGCGCGGTTTTTGTCATCATAGATTATATACGTAGGTAGAATGATCAGTATGTAATAAGTAAATGTTTATTTAGATTGTATTGTAAATTGTATCGAGTACAATTTTTTAAATTGTTATTTATATTGCATGTGTTAATATAATGTAACATAATATTATGTCAGAATTACATTTTAATTATATTTTATTTAATACTTTAAAAGGTAAATATGTAGAATATAAAAATATGCATTTATTTTCAAAGATCATTATTATTACTTTTCTAGCATTCTCTAACGTATTTATACGCAGCTGGTGAATAATAGTGTAAAATCAATGCGAATTTACGCAAAGGTGCATGCAGTGTATAATTAATAATGCGTGCTCTGTTTATTCTTTTTCGTTAAAGATTTATGTTACTCCATAACTTCTGCTTTACCCATTAAATCAATCTCAGCATTTAAGTTGAGACCGAATTTATGTTTCAAATTTTCTACAATCGATTTGTAAGAAGCACATTTTTTCTTTAGATAAATATTTTGTCTTAAATTTCTCAGTAAGTTTCTTTCTAGCTGCAGATTCCTTGCTATTAAATACAAACACAATATTACAACGTGCTTATATTTTATTCTTTTTATAATAACCTAGAATTATTGATTCCGTTATTAAGGTAGAACTATATTTGAAAGCTTAGGCTTCGTATACATCACTCAAACTTAGCTTAGGAGACATCACTTGCGTAATTTATTTTTAAGTACAATTTTGCTCGGACTATCTAAAATTGAATTTGTACTGCTTATTGATTCAGACGACGGTTCTGATACTTCCTGGTCACCACATTTTGTTGGCTGAAAAAAGATACTAGTTATTTGGGAAGCCTGCAAAAATTCTAGTGTTACAATATTAAAAAACCGTCATATACTAGAATGACTCGCGCGCCGAGGTTTCCGCCTCTCTTAAGTCCCGTAAATATACTGAACATTACAAAACATTCG